AAGGTATCTGAAATGAGTTATTACTGCTGTAATTTTTATAACTATAATAAAAATCAAGCATCACAACAACAAATAAATTTGGGTGCAAAGAAAACTCTTACAATCCCTACTATTTTCTAAGATACAGTGAAAAATCTGAGAATTAACCCCATTAGAAAGGTTTATTTGCTAAGTTTTAGAGAGTTAAAATAAGCTATACTAGATACTGTACAGTACTGATAAATTTATAGACCACACAAGTAATTTTCCCTTCGGGAAATTTCAGTTATGCTCATTCTTCATGGAAATAAAACATGAAATAATATGATGACTTCCTAACACCATAAATTTTGCAGTATTAATCTGAAGAGTACATATTAACAATATACTTGGGCTGTCAGAATCTATACTAATAAAAGGGAAATATGCTAATTAGACCAGGTCAACTAGACATCTTCTGGTCATCTGGTCCTCCTTCCAGACAAAGCCACGGTGGCGGGGGCCGAGGAAGAGGCGGTTAGGGGTGATCAGGCCAGCAGGCAGAGTGGTTAGGGGCAATCAAGCCGGCAGGCAGAGGTGGTTAGGGGCGATCGGGCAGGCCAGCAGAGTGGTTCAGGAAGATTAGGCAGTCAGACGAGCAGTTAGGCGCCAGCTGTCCTGGATTGCGGAGGGATGTCTCCCAGATTGGAGAGGGTGCAGGCCAGGCTGAGGGGATGCCCCCCACCCCATGCACGAATTTTGTGCACTGGGCCTCTGGTCAGTTAATAAAAACTAAATTACATAACACAGAAAGAATACCAAAGTACCAGCTTTGTAGACAGAAAATATAAAGTTTTCAGTTACAATAATGATTTAGAACAGAACATAAACATAAAATACACGCCTGGAAATCTGGAAGGGAAATGCTATTATGGTTAGGGGGAAAAGTCAAAAAAAAGAGGAGTGGGAGAGGACGAGCTGAATAAGCAGAACTGTCCTAGAGCAGAGTGGGCTCCAGTTCTTAGCAGAAAGAAGTGAATGTTCCTCCTCTCCAGAGACTTCCAATATGTTATTCTGATTGTTCTCTCAGGGAAACAGGAAACTCAAGAAGACTCTTCTGTCCCTTTAAACTGACTAAGAGAGCTGGGTTTATGTGTACAGTGATATTTAAAATTCTTTTATAAGACATCAATCATTCATATCATTACTTCTTATAAAACATTTATAGCTGAAGCAATAATCAAACTTAGTACAGTGTAACTGCTTTAACAAAGATAATGACTAAAGTCAGACTCTTTTGACTGTTTCAGAGGATACAGAAAACTTTACCAATTTCAAAATTGTGTCCATTTCCATTCCAAATGGAAGCTATTTCTGAAAGTATATCTATACTTTGCCAATTCGCATCTAGGTACATAGTTTTGTGGGAGAACTGCGAGTAGGCTAAGTTTCACTCCTCTCATGATATATGGATGCAAAGATTGACATTTTTTTTAACATAGCCAACCAACTATGTTAAAATAAGCTATTTATTTTTCCACACTCATTAGCCAATGTCACAGAAAGCTATTAAATGTCCAGATAACATAAGTTGTATAAAAATAGTACATAAGTGAAGCAAGTACATGGACCTAAATATTCACCTACCCTTATTCTTCTGTTCATATTCTATTCTTTTAAAAAGGAGGCTTACATTTTCTCATTTTAAAATTCCCTAAAAGATCCAAAACATAAAATTCATAGAGGAATATTTATAGGTATATTAATCAAGCCAATATTAGGCAAAGAAAGTTCATGCCTAAAATGTATTTAAATATACAACTATGCCAAGCCTAGCCACTTTTACAGAATCATTCTTTATTAGTTCACTAAGGACATACGAATTCTAATTCTATAGAAAACACTGTTATTCTACAAATATAGTGCACCTATTCTATCAGGCATCATTCACAATATAAAGTGAACAAGACTAACAAAGTTCCTGCCCTCAACAAGCTTACTACAGTCTATGGATGACAGGAAGACATAAACAATATATTTTCACTTAAAAAGGACAGAGAATAATAGAAAAAAGGAAGTCAGAGCAGACCTCAAAAATGAGATAAAATTTGAACACAAATCTGAATGATATGAAGATGAGAACCATGTGAAGATATAAGAGAAGAGCATTGCACTGCAGTTATAGGAAACTCCAAATGTAAATACCTAGAGGTGGGCTTGGCATATTTAAAAAAAAAATAGCTTGAAAGGTAATGTAGCATGCTAAGTAAAGGGAGAAAGGTAGGAGATAAGTTCAGAGAAATAGGCAAGGGGGTGAGATATGTCCTATAAACTCATAAATCATGATAAGAAATTAAATTTAAATTTCACACTAAATGTAAAGAAAAGCCAATGATGTTTTGACCAGGAAAATGTCATAATCTGATTTATCTTTAATACTGAGACTGTATTTAGAAGCTGGGGCTGAAAATAGGCACCTGGGGGCCATCTGTTCTTTGGGGACATAAAGCAAGGGGATCCAATGGTATATCTATTAACTAGGAAAGTTAGAAGAAGAAAAAAAAGTCATAGGTATAAGGAGTAGTGTATCACATGAGAAGTCAATGAAGTAGAATGAAAAACAGAAGAACATGTTATCTTAGAAGCCAAGTAAAAAAAGAGTTTTCAGAAAAGGGGACTAACCATTTACTATGTCAAAAGCTACTGAAATGTTAAGGTGAAAGCAGAAAACAGATTTGGATATGGCAAATGCAGGATGCCAATGACTCTTACAAGAGTGATTTTGGTAAAATGGTTGTGACAAAAGCCTGACTACAGTGATTTAAAGTGGGGCTGGGAGACAGGAGGAAAGGACTAACAAGTTACAAAGTTCAAAAAGAGGTGAGATTTCCAGCTATGGCTGAATGAAGAGATCTTCCCCCAAATACCTAAAAAAAAAAAAAAAAGAAGAAGGACTACATTATAGAAAACAACAATTTCAGAGCTCTGGAAATCATCCAAATGCAACAAGTTGAGAAGCATTTATTCATGAAAAGCTGCTAGATACTGGAATTAGACAGTGTGGGCCAGTAGCCTTCTTGCCAGGGAATATTACCACCTAGCTCAGACAATTTGGGTAGTTACTTTTACCACGACAGGGTTGGCCATCAAAACCAGGAATTCTGTTTCTAGACAGGGCTATCATCACTTAAAACAGAGAGCAAAAACCCATTTCCAGTGGCAATGGCAGTAAAAATAGCAAATCTGACAGGAAACAAAGTAAAAAAAGTCCACAGCTCTGCTCCCCTTGAGGATGCAGTCTCAGCTGGGGAAAATGACAGACTGGCAGAACACTAAGAAATTTAACAGGGAGATCCTGGAAGTAAGAGAGACATAAAGGGGCTAAATAAGCTCTCCACATATCCCTGGCTCAGAAGCTGTACACACACAGGCAGGTGAGACCTACGAGGGCCTTGTAGAAAGCGGAGGTCGAACTACTGGATTTTTGAATGTACTTTGCAATGCATGTACAAGATCATCAAAAAATAGTGGAAGCTTTATGAACTCAAGATGTTTGAATACAATCTCTAACCAATACCCAGCTGACCACTAAGCTATGCAGACAAAGAGTCAACCCCTAAGAAGGCTATAAAATAAAAATTAGAATAAAAATTTTAACACAGAATTCACAGCCTTTGAACTGTGGAGGAGAAATACTATAGATTACCGTATTTGCCCGCATATAAGACGATTTTTTGGCCCTGAAAAATATGCCTCCAAGTGGGGGGTCGTCTTATACGCCAGGTACACTTCAGATAGACTCCCCATAGTGCTTGCCCCGTGCCATAGTGGCCTCCCGATGCCCGCCCACTTCATTCCACATACCGTTCAGGCATCAGCAGCGCTGCTGGGTGTATGCTCGGCTGTTATGCGATTTTGCTGTTATGCGATTTTACCACACTCGCAAAATCGCACACAGCCGACCATACACCCAGTATGATAGCGCAAAATCACGAATCGCGATACCATACTGGGTGTATGGTTGGCTGTGTGCGATTTTGCGAGTGTGGTAAATTCGGGTTACCGTATATTTCTTTACATATGCATTGAAGATTCGCGATTTTGCGCTATCATGGTGCCTGTTAGAATGTTGAAGAGCTCGCACTTGCGCACTAGTGAGGTCCCAGGGAGATGCTGATGCAAGGGTGGACCAGACTGCTATAGTGACAGGGCGGGCAAACTTCTATCATTGACAGTCCCTCTAGGTTGTGGGCTGCTTGCCTGTGTTCCTGAGAAGCATCTACGGTACCAGTCTATAGAGTGTGTTTTCTTTAGTGAATTACCGGTATGTTTACCGGTAATAAACTTGCACTGTTTTATGTATATGTTTGATTACATACAGCCTTGTGACCGTTTTCCTGCATGTCATGAGCATTTGAATATAAATTAAAATGTTAAAATCAAATCTGATATTGTTTTACCTTTTATTTGGTGTGTGGAAGGTGTGCGGAAGAGGGGGTAGTCTTATACGGCGAGTATATAACAAACTCTGTATTTTGAGTGGAAATGTTAG